CTGCCCAACGCCTACAAGCCACTTGCACCGTTGTCAGCCTTGCGCACATCCCTTGTGCTTTGAGCCTTCCGCTCCGCATTGGCAATACCCATGCCAACACAACGCTTCACACCCCTGTGTGACGCCGGACCACGCTGCATCAGTCTGCCCCGTCCCAAACGTGCCACTGATCAGCCACATGCACTGACGTCTTCCCACGCTCCAAGTGCCTTGAACTTAGATCTGGCCCACGATCTCAAGTCCAAATGTCGAGCTTTCCGCTCCGCTGCCAAAGGATCCTCCCATCCAACTAGCAACATGTTGACCCACGGCCAACAATTTTGGTGAACGCCCCACTCCCTTGTGTGCTTCTCCAAAAATATGATGTCCAACCCGCACAGCCCCTGTGTACGCTTGACCCATCCTTGTGACACCTCCCGAAGCATGCCACCGAACCTTAGCGTCTCCACGACCTTCGGTTCTTTGCACTGCCATACCCAAGCAATGCCGCTGCAGTTGCCCGACGTCCCACGCCTGCAACCTATGCCAAGTCCATGCCCCTGATGACTTTCACGGTGCCATCAGACCAAACGCAAGGGATTCACTGTCACCAACGCAGAATCCTCCTCGGACTCCACTTGCTTCAAGGCAGCCAACTTTTGGTTCTCGGGACAGTTCCGCTGCAAGTGCTGACCGCCACACCCCCAGCAAGCTTTGGACTTTGGTTTTGTCACACTCGCTTCCGTTGCCGCACTGATGTCGTCACACTTCAACGTCCCCCTTGAACCGGAAATGCCTGATTCTCCCTTGCCCTTGTTCCCCTTAGAACCATCGGACAATGAGTAATCCATGAGTCCTTCGGCCGCTGCCATGGCACTCGGCAAATCCTTCACAGCCTGCCTTCTCAATTCTGTCTGGGCCCACGGCTGCAGTCCAGACACGAAATTGAACAGCCTGTCCTCCTCCGTCATGTTCTCAATGTCTAACATGAGCGAAGAGAACGTCTTGACATAATCCCTCACCGATGTGGTGTGTTTCAAGTTCTTCAGGGCCTCCCTGCCCATCCAAGAGACATTGTGGGGAAGGAATTGAGCCTTCAACTCCTTCTTGAGTCCATCCCATGACTCCAGCCCGTGTCTTCCCGTATTAGCGTCGTCCCTTACTCTACTCCGCCACCAAAGCTTTGCATCACCAGACAAGTACATGGGTGCAATCCTCACCTTCTCTTCGTCCGGCACCTTTGCGGCTTTAAAGTATTCTTCCATATCCCACAGAAAGTTCTCCAACTCCTTGGCATTGCGGTCACCACCAAAGGTCTTCGGCTCCGGCACTTTGATCTTTGAAGAGCCTACTTCAGCGCTTGGGACCAGTCCCGCTGCAAGAGCCCTCTTCAAAATCACAAGTTCTGACTTTGTGGCTTCGTTCTCGGCAGAGCGTGCCTCCAGTTCGTTTACCAGGTCTGCCCTTGAGGCCTCAAGTGCCTTAAGCCGCGCCCACACCGGCCTAAGCGCTTCCTCAATCAGCCCACGAACCAGTACCTCCGCAGTCTCCACCCCTTGGTCACCGGCAGACGAATCACGATCTTCAACCATCAGCTCTGATACCAATTGTTACACGGTAAAATTCACGTCTCGAATTTTCACCCTGTACGGCCTGCCTTAACGCCTTAAGACAGTCAGCCTTCCACCCAATGCCGCGGCGCAACCCTTAATTGGAATAGGAACACAACACTTTAACACACACTTAGAATAAAGGCACACGACTTTACGGTCAACGACCAACCTTGTATTAATTCACAATTAATACACTAGGACTAATACAACACGCTCACAATGTCTAACACACTTGCAAACACTCGGCCACACTGCTGTCTCTCGCTAAGACTACAAAACTCGCAGTTATGCCGCGGCATATTTATAGACGAGCCACGTCTGGCAGTTACAAGCCAACTGCCTAGCCTGAAGGGACGCGTCTCTTCGCGTGTGGCAGTTACCAACCGCCCTATGCCGCGGCCTTCCGGTCTGCCCAAGCACTTGTCCGCCCGAAGCCCTCAACTGCCTTGCCACCGGTTCGCCTCAAGGCACCTGTTCGCGTGTAACCGTCCTGCCCTTCCAGACTTGAGTCATGCCGCACCGAACCGACACGCCTCTTCGAGCTTGCACTCATGCCGCGGCCTAACCCAGGCCACCCACGAGCCAACTCTTTGCTTTGAGCTTGTGACCAACTCTTGTTGCCTTGCGCCCAGCTTGCCCAAGTCCCACTTGTCAAACGGCCAACCAACTCTCGTTGCCACCGAAGCTCCCAAATGTCGTGACTGCCCAAGGACAGCCACGCCCCGGGCTCAAGCCTGGCCACGCACCACGCACTACCCTTGAGTCGTTCACGTGCCACCTTGAGCCACTTGCTTTTGTTGTGCCTCCAAGCTGTTGTTCCGCATCCCGTAAGCCATGCCCCGCATGCCACTGACCTTCACCAACACTTGGACCACATGCCGGACCCGCACACCCATAGTCTCCCTTGACCATGTCATGCCGCCCATGAACCGAACATGGTTTCTCGCAACGCCAACCGTTCTGCCCTCATACTTGGTCTAGCTTGCCTTGTCTTGACTAAGTCCCCATGCCTTAGCCAAACTTCCACCTTGCCCGTTCTTCGCAATGTTGCAATGCCGCGGCATAACTATGCCTTGGCCATTGCCATGATGACTTTGGCCGCATCCCATGCCCCGAAAAGCCACCCTATCGAGCCCAAACCATGTCTCGATAAAGACCCGCCAAAAAGGGGTCTAACAGTAGGCCACTATCCTACCATCGAAAGTTGATAGGGCAGAAATTTGAATGATGCGTCGCCGGCACTATGGCCATGCGATCCGTCAAGTTATCATGAATCATCGCAGCAACGGGCAAGAGCCCGCGTCGACCTTTTATCTAATAAATGCATCCCTTCCAGAAGTCGGGGTTTGTTGCACGTATTAGCTCTAGAATTACTACGGTTATCCGAGTAGTAGGTACCATCAAACAAACTATAACTGATTTAATGAGCCATTCGCAGTTTCACAGTCTAAATTAGTTCATACTTACACATGCATGGCTTAATCTTTGAGACAAGCATATGACTACTGGCAGGATCAACCAGGTAACATTCCTAAATGATGCCCCGAGCACGAGCGACGAAAGAACACTCAATGCAACAAAGCAGTCATGCGTAGGACTAGCGTGCCACATTGGCACACGGGGAAAGAAGAAGATGAATTCCAATGCCCCGTGCTTATACCAAATCCAAGAGCCATGCACAACTACTCGTATGCCCAGATCACAACCAAGGGTTGCACCGAGCACAAGTAGGCGTTTGGCGTCCATCCCACGCACACCCTCGCATACAAACGAGGACGAGCACAGGACGGAAATCGAGAGTTAACATGCAAAATGCCACCCGCAGCGGTATTCGACACCGGAAACCATGGAAAATCGGCCCCAGCAGCACCGAGGCAATCGACACTGAGAAGGCAAGGCGGCAAGACGTCATTGCTACGGCAATGATCCATCTTAACCACAAATGCCGGAGACAACTCACGCACCGTCTTGCATCGCAAACATCAAGTGCAACACAACTTACACCAACAGACCACACGGTTGGAATCGCTCCAAGCATATAGTCCACCACCGCAAGTTGAACGCCATGACACTCGCATCAATAAGTGCGAAAGGGAAAAGACCGAAATAAACCCACTAGTCGCATCGCCAACGAGAGGAGACCGAAACCACATAGAGTAAAGCAACTACTCGTGCCACGCCGTTGCAACCGACCGAAACCGACTAGTGCATACGGCGACCATGCTGAAACCCGGGCAGCGAAAGACCAACGCCGTGGACCGGAGAACCACGACCGAAAACCGAAACCCACATAGAGCAGTACAACTGCTCGTGCCACGCCATTGCAACCGACCGAAACCGACTAGTGCAAATGGCGACCTTACCGAAACCCAAGCAACGGAGAGACCAACGCCGTGGACCGGAGAGCCACGCAAAGAAACCGAAACCCACATCGAGTAGTGCAACTACTCATGCCACGCCATTGCAACCGACCGAAACCGACTAGTGCAAAAGGCGACCATACCGAAACCCAAGCAGCGGAAGGGACCAACGCCGTGGACCGGAGAACCACGACCGAAAACCGAAACCCACATAGAGCAGTACAACTGCTCGTGCCACGCCATTGCAACCGACCGAAACCGACTAGTGCAAATGGCGACCTTACCGAAACCCAAGCAACGGAGAGACCAACGCCGTGGACCGGAGAGCCACGCAAAGAAACCGAAACCCACATCGAGTAGTGCAACTACTCATGCCGCGCCATTGCAACCAACCGAAACCGACTAGTGCAAGAGGCGACCATACCGAAACCCAAGCAGCGGAAAGACCAACGCCGTGGACCGGAGAACCACAGCCGAAAACCGAAACCCACATCGAGCAGTACAACTACTCATGCCACGCCATTGCAACCGGCCGAAACCGACTAGTTCAAACGGCGACCTTACCGAAACCCAAGCGACGGAGAGACCAACGCCGTGGACCGGAGGGCCACGCAAGGAAACCGAAACCCACATTGAGTAGCACTACTACTCATGCCACGCCATTGCAAACAACCGAAACCGGCTAGCGCAAACGGCGACCATGCCGAAACCCATGCAGCAGAAAGACCAACGCCGTGGACCGGAGAACCACGGCCGAAAACCGAAACCCACATTGAGTAGTGCCCTATGCCGCGGGGCAACTACTCGTGCCCACCCAACCTGGAAACCGCGGCATTCCAACCAACCGAACCGAAGGAGAGGATAACCAACCCACCGAAACCCACGCGGCGAAAATATCCAACTCCGTGGCATGGGAACCCACGCGGAACCCACGCTAAGAAGAGCCCCATGCCGCGGCGCAACTCTGCCCGTGCCCACCCGTCGAGGAGCACTCCCCCCCTATAGTAGATAAAAAAACATATACACTGAATCTCGGAGTAGCGACATT